TTGATACAGTCAGATATGTTTCAAAGAACTCCCTTAAACAAAATAGTGGCTTAACACTGTGGAATGACATGCAGTGAATTGGAAAGAGACTGATACACAGATAAATTAATTCAAAAATGAAATTCAGAATGAAAAATTTACATGTTACAGATGATATGCATGTATCTTAAAAATAAGAGAATTTAGAGATGCACTTATGTAGTTTACTATTCCCTGGGCTAGGTTGCTGGCTTGATAAGAGATTCATAGTTAAAGTGAAATTTTCCTTGAGAAGTGAAAAATAATTTATTTGGTTGAGATATATAAAATAATGTAATGATAAATGCATATTTATATATGTATGTGTTAGAGCAGGCAGCTAGCTTGATATGAGCAGAGACAGGGGGACACAGACCAAATGGCAGGAACTGGGCAGAAAGGAGGGGCACAGGCTAAATGCAGGAAACCACACGTCATGTGAGCAGGAGGGATCCTTGGGCAGAGAAAAAAAAGCAGGAACCTTGGGGCTGATAAGGGATCATGATTTTTGGGGTGACAAGTGGCCTGGAGAAGAACAAAGAATGGTGAGAAAAGGCAGGAATTTCTAGTGTCTGAATGTATCCTTTTGCTCATTATGCCCTCATTTAAATAAAATTAGCCTTGCAGATCACAAGTACCCATCATGCACCGACGCCATGACGCTTCCGATCCAGACTAAATAAGGACAAAAATCCCTCCTCCCTTTGGGAAGGTGGAGTTGGGATGATAATCAGGGAATATGACCCCAAACCCTTCCCTCCTCAATGAATATTCCGCCCATTCATTTTTACACCCCATGTAACTAACTTGCCAAAGAAACTCCAGGCAGCCGCTCCCCTGAGCCTACATGCTCTCCCCTGAGAATGTACTATCCATCCTTTAATAAATCCTCACTTTACCTTTTTTACCTGTAAGTCTTGTCTCTGAATTCTTTCTGTGACGGGACAAGAACCTGGAACACCGGTTGCATCTAACGGCAACATATGTATGTATTTATATATTTACCTACCTAAAGCAATATTTGTACTATTACTACGAATAAAAGAAGTATCCAAGATTTTTATTATACATACTAAAAGGGACACTATAATAACACATTCTTGAGAATTTTAGGGTTAGATTAATTTTGAACTATATATCCATTATGCAGCTCCACCTTGAATCTTGATTCTAGCTAACACATTCATCAGTTGTGACTTGAGGCACATTATTTAAATTCTCTGGGCTTCCCTTATCTGAAATGGGGGAACATTTTTCAACATTATAGTGTTTGTGAGGAATTGTGATGTGCAGTATGAAGAACTTTTTGATGCCTGGCCTGGAACTTAATAAACACCTAATGAACTTCAGTCACTGTTGTCACGATTGTCATCATGATCATTCTACTCCTAATCATCAAGCACAATCAGGTTGCAGTTTGCAAAGTAGTGTAATATCTATTAAAGGTTTTCTCCTCAAACTTGCCTTGCACTGTAAGTAGTATTTTTATTTCTTAATTGAGGCTCAGAGTTTATGACTTTCCCAAGTGCACATGAGGACAGAGTAGACAAGCCTGAGTGAAAACTCAGATCCTGATCCAAATCTTCTCTTCCCACTGCTTTCTTGTCTCCCAGAGGAAAGAGATTCAAGGCTGAGGAAACTGCTGCCCCTGAGGATTCAGATGATGATTTCAACACATTCAAACTACACGGCACAGTCATTAATCTGGGATTGAAACTTCCCATTTGTCGAGATTGGTTTCTGTTAATATGTCCCCATGAAAAAGCTAAGAAATGCATTGTAATAAGGCCCCTTGAAACTGATTAGCAAGTAAATTCACTTTTAGCAATTCACAGTAGGGAATTCTGTTGGCAATGAAGAACTTTCTAATAAGACCCAGAGAGACTTCCATCATTAACACAAAAGCAATGACTGACTTCAATTTCTCTTTACATAATAATCAGCAATTATTTAATTAAAATCAACAGGAGGAGAATTACAATTGCTACAAAAAAATGGCATTTTTCTTTATTTTCCCACATATTCTGAACTTTTGCAGCCTGACTAGAAATGGAAACACTAACCTAAGTTTTTCCACATTATACAGCACGAGCGAGCAATAGACACTTGGGAATTTCCAAATTCTGTGGAAAGACACTGCATATTGACCAATTCTCCAAAATTTGGAAATTTAATCACATATTAAAAACTTTCAAATTTGGTGTCAAACTACACTTTTTTCACAGTTAAGGTTTTTGATGCATGTTATGGGTGGAAGGCCCTGCTAGAATGCATGAAAGGATACTGATGGGTTTAATCCTTCCCTAAATAAAGAAATCCAAAAAAGTCTGAAAGGGAAAGGTCTACTCAAATGGAAATAAGATTGCAATAGCAAATGTGAAATACATCTACAGGCAATATAAGACAGCATATACCACGTGTGCACAGTTTGGATGGAGGTGATGGTCTGTGAGCTGTAATAAGTGGGCAAAGGGTTGGCTTCTGCATGCCTTCGGAATATAAATTATAAACTGAACTATGATAAAGTGCTTATTACTGTGGTTTGATCACTTTCTAAAGAAATGAACAGGACACAAAAATCTTATCACAATCAAAACATATTAAAAGATAACAAATTCAGTCACTCCATGAAAAATGAATAAAATAAACTTGCTGGAAGGAATAAGTCAAATGTACAGCTTAAAAGTCTCAGTGGAATAACTGCATATATATGTGTGTGTGTTTCAATAAAAACTAAAGGAATGTGAATGAAGACACATGCAGACGACCATTCATGTGGAGCCATACACTCCTTTGCCAGTAAGTAAGAAAGACTGAAACTAGGTAAGTAGGAATTATGTGCCAAAAATTGGGTGAAGAAAATAAAATGCTGTATGTAAATTGATTTAGGAATTAAAAAGAAAAAAGAACTAAATAGAAGTCTCTTTTTAGACACTTGATATGTAGTTCCTGACACAAACTGGGGATTTAATATATAATTGTTGAGAAATAAATGAATCTCTCAGAAAGTTTTTGGCAATTTGACCCCCAATTATGCCAAGCTCATTATTTTTTTAAAAGGATGTTTCTTCTTTTGCTAATATGTGTTTAATTATTGCTAAAATATAAATTTTATCAATGATTAATATATAGTTTACTAATGATGAAATATACATAAAAGAGAAAACACCATTTTTAGAGAATAAGCTTGGAAAAGTAAAAACTGTATGGATAATTGTTACTGTTACTGCAGAAAAATATGGAAATGCTTACAGCTCTGCAAGAAATTGAGCTGTGTCCCCTCAACATTTTGATGTCAAGGCAATGAGGAGGAGCCAGCAATGAACCTGAGAAGGAACGTTCAGGAAGAAAACCAGGAGAGGGGGGAATTTGAGTGGAGAAGGTTAACCAAGGAATGGTGACCTATGACAAATACCACTGTTAGGCTGAGTAACACAACCTTGGTAAGGGGACTTTCCGCTTAATAATGGGAGGAAACGGCTTACTGGAATGATCTCGAGAAAGGTCGGAGGGCCTGATTTGGAGGCAACATGGAAACACACACAACTCTGCTAGGATCAGTTCTGGAATAAAAGATAATTTAGCAATAAGCAAATCATTTTAAAATAGACACATTCTTTTATTCATTTCTATTTTTTAATATTTATCCTAAAAATATTGGATCATCCTAAATCAATTTGACTAAGAGAATTTATCATAGCATTATTATTTTCCTAATTAGAAAAAAACCCAAGATTTTAATATAGATAAATTAAAGCCGTGCTTTGGGAAGAATCTCGAATGTTATGTAAAATCCCAATATACCATCTGCCCTTCATATTTGTGGGTCCTGAATTTGTGATTCATCCAAGATCCATGGTTGGTGAATCTGCCGATGTGGAACCCCTGGATTGAAGGTCCGACTGCTCTATGCAATTGTGAATGAGGGATTTCAGCATCCACCGGTTGGGCAATGATGCACTGGGGGAAGGAAGAGGTATCCTGGACCAATTCCCCATAGAAATGAATTGCTGGAAAAAATTCATTATAAGCAGTAAATTGTCATATACTCTGATTACAATTTAATAATATACAAAAAAAAGAAAAATGAAAAATGAATTGTCCCCAAACTTAAAGAGCAGTTACCTCCAGAGATTTTTTTTTCATATATTTCTGTATATCAAATTTTGTAAACAGCTAACATAAACCTTGAGCAACGTAGGGTTAGGGGCACCAACCCCTCCAGATGGAAAATCTGCCTATAAGCTTACAGTAGAGTTGCACCTGCAGCTCCACACCTGCAGAGCCACCCGACCTCGGGAGGTGTAGTACTGGAGTAGTATTTATTGGAAAAAATCTCCTATGACTGGATCCACGCTGTTCACACCTGTGTTGTTTAGGTTTCAACTGTACTTTCTTTTCATCCTAGAAAAATGTATGTATATGTATATATATTTTTAACAAAATAAAGGAGATATAAAAATGCCCCATACCTATCAATACTAATACTCCAAGGTTTTGTAAAATATATACAGAAACTGGTTGATTTTATTGAATCAGAATCCCTTTGGCTGAGAAGATCACAGGGAATGGAAGGGACAAATGAAAACAAATGATGACAATACATTAAAAGTGGTTGTAATATTTGAATTGCTTGCCATTTGTTTTTGCTTTTCTTTGTTTTGTTTATAACAATTGAACTGGACATACATAACCAAGGACTAGTGATTTCATGCTGACATTATTCTAGTTTCAAACATAACTTAAAGTTACCTTTGTTTTTACCAGCTAATCTTCATCTAATTGGAAATTTCTAATCATGGTTGCACACTGGAGGCTGCACAGTTGCACTCTGGTGCGCTCACATTGGGGGAACTCTAGGAATTAACTCTCAAAAGAATTGAGACTGCATTATATAAAGACCTGGTGTACTCATTCACATATCCCGAGTATCTGAGCGAGTCCTTGGAAAGGAGACCCCTGGGGAAACATTCAGGGGAAGATTTCTTCCACATGCTGGTAGTTTAAAAAGTGCTGCTGTCGGTCATTACCATAGCGCCTTATTTCCAGGCCATCCACAGTCTTCCCCCATTTAAAACAAAGGAGATGATCCTGGCTAGTTCAGCTCCAACTAGATGAAGCTGACGTCTCTTCTCAAGAATGAAACACCTTTCTTAACCCTCCCTGAATTAAATATCTTCTTCAACTTCTGCCTGAGACTTGGGTGTCCTTTATAAGAAGAAAACACATTTTATCTGTTGATAAAAAGTCACAAGTCAAATCCTCTGATGAAGAGCCTTTGTGTGGGGGGGAGTTGTCTTTCTCTCAGGGGGAAATGTTGATGGTTTAAGAAACATCTATCAGAGACATTCATGGGTCAACTTGAAATTGATGAGCATGTCTGGGTTTTGCAAGTTTTTCTTTAATTACAAAGAAGAAAAATTAAAAAATAAGCCTAATTCCAATGTATGCACAAAGAAAGTAACTCACTACCAACACTTCCACTAATCACCCCTAAAACATCTGAAATGATATTTATCATTTGGAATGTCGAAGACCGAGAGTGGGACCAGAGTCAATATGTTGCCATGGATGGTAGTGAGCACATGGCGGCCAAATCAATGTTTTCTCATTTCTTCTTCTATTCTATTCCCAGAATAGTGAGCTATAGCACTGTAGCTGTGTTAGGATGCCAGTTCAGGAAAACAAGCCAGTTCAAACACATCTCTCACAAGGTAGGTCTTGACTTTGCTAAGTGGAATATAAATGGATGGAGGGAAATTTTGTTTTCATGTCAGGTTTTAAATATGCACTAATATGTAACTATGCATATGTGTGTATATATGCATATATCTGTATGTATGTGTATGTTTGTTTATGTATGCATATATATTTTTTGTTTCTTGTTTTTTGAGAGCACATTAGGTACAAGTAATAATATTGAGATGATTCAATGGAGAGAGAAGAAAGAAATTTAAAGGAATAATTTTCTGACCACTCTCACTGATCTGTTAGAAAAAAAAGTTTCCCTTTGGACAAAATGTTTGAGGAGAAAACAGGAATTATTTTTTCTACTTTGTACACTTTTTTAATTTGATAAGGATGATACATTTTTACTTTATTACATTCCTCTTGAAATTAGAGTTAGCCATTTATCTTCCTTTAGAAGTTAAAAGAGGCATCTAATTCACAATGACACATCATGCAAGTAGAACAGCATAAGGCAGTAGTCTCACTTCCTCACATTTTCTATTTCTCTCATCAAAGAGATTGCCACCTTTTAAAAGGAGGAATGTAGTTATAATCACTGAAAACTTAACAGAGATTGTAGAAAACATTCTTGATTATAAATGTCATAAATAGTTAAAATGCAACATGGCACAACACTTTAATTTTGATAACTATACTTTAGAAAACAAATTAAAGTATCTACTCAAAAAGGCAATAAATTACTACATTAAGGTTCTGCTCTACCAAGAAGAAGATATGGGAACAGGAAATAAAAAAATGGCTTCTTCTCTTTATTCAATATAATTGAAAATGATCTGAATCTAAAATATTAAATACATTTTCAAACATATGGTTCACTTTTTTCATCTTTACTCTGTGGACTTTAGTTGGTTTATTTTTATCAGCACTCAACTTTTGACCTCATAAAATTATGAACAGCCAGAGAGGAGAGTTTCAAATGGGATGTGTTTGTTTGTTCTGATATTCTACCACAATGAACAATAATTTCTGAAGCTAAAACACACAAGAGTTAATGTCTGGTGACAATTTCTTATGCCCAGCAATTTTTTGGTCTTTAACTTATCTTTCTTCAACAATTGAGTGATTGGAACAAATGACTGAAAGGAACAGCACCAGGATGACGGAATTCATTCTTTTAGGTTCTTCAGTCCATAGAGAGATTGAACTCATTCTCTTCCTGCTCATTTTAGTGGTATATTCTCTAACTCTGGTAGGAAACCTTGGGGTGATTTCACTAATCCAATTGGATTCTCGACTTCACACACCCATGTATTTTTTTCTCAGTAATCTGGCCTTTGTAGACCTTTGCTACTCTTCATCAATAGCCCCCAAGTTCCTGCAGACCCTCCTGACCAGACACAGGTCTGCAACTTTCTATGCATGTGCCACACAGCTGGGCTTTTTCCTGAACTTCTTGATCTTGGAAATGATCCTTCTTGCATTAATGGCTTATGACCCCTATGTCATCATCTGCAGTCCTCTTCTCTACATGGTGGTCATGTCCCCAAAGGTGTGTATGCAGCTGGTAATGGGCCCCATCTTATATAGCTTTTCTGTTGCTTTGCTCCACACAGTTGTTACTTACCAACTGATCTACTATGGCCCCCATGTCATCAATCATTTCTACTGTGATGATGTCCTTTGATGGCCCTTGTCTGCTCAGACACCAGCCTCAAGGAGATGTTGATTTTCATCTTTGCTGGATTCAATATGATCAGTTCTTTGACCACCGTCCTTATTTCTTACTTACACATTGCGGCTGCCATCATGAGAATCCAGTCGACAGAATGGAGGTGCAAAGTGTTCTCGACCTTTGGCTCTCATCTGACCACTGTGACTATATTCTATGGGACTCTGATCTTCATGTATCTGCAGCCCAAATCAAACCATTCCCTTGACATGGACAAAATGGCCTCCATGTTCTACACAATAGTCATTCCTATTTCAGCCCCATGATCTACAGCTTGAGGAACCAAGAAGTAAAGAATGCCTTGAGGAAAGCCATTGACAAATGCTATGTCCTGCCTCTAATAAACTTTAAAAAGTGACTTGCAACAAATCATGACTTGGAACAATGTCACTTGCAGACAGACATGTTGTTTTTCTAATCTTTTGATGAAGTACATTTTTTTAACCATTCTTTATATGAGTAAAATGATTTTGTATATGAATTCTAGTTTTCATGTAATCAATAGTAAGATGAAATTTTTAAAAGAGTAGAATTTACATTTTTAACAAATTGCTACTCTTAGGGTATGTGACACTGATAGCTTTGACCTGACTAGCTTCTATTCAACTGATAATCAGGTTTAATCAGTCTTTTCAAAATTGTTCCTGTTTTGTATATCATGGAAGACAGAGAAAGGGGCAAGGATGGTGATGAAATAAGTTTCTTATCCATCCCCATGTTATTCCATGTGATAGCCTCCTCCTCCAATGTTCTCTGTCTGTGACCCATCATTCCTCTCTCTGCTGCTGACCTCCACATTCACTACTAGCCACTCCCTAAAATTGCATGATTAGCACATCCTTTGAAAGAAAGTCATTTTTCACCATGTAGACATGGGAACAAGACTTAGCTTTTGGAAAGCCATATTCCCTTTTATTACTCTATCAAAACAAAAATGCAGATCTATCTTTAAGTTCCCTAAGCAAAGCTGTGCTTTGTAAAGGTCTTTTAAAGTTTTAGGGGTATGAGGAAATTACAGTGGGTTGGGGGACAGGAAGGGGTAGATTAAAACCAAGAGATAAATATGGTGGCTATTAGATGTCAAGAATATAGTTCCATGCTCAGGTAATATAAAGAGACATAATTCAAAACCCACTTAAACTTTCAACTGGAATATAATAGATTGTATTTTCACTCATAAATTCAAATGTTCATGTCTACCATGTGCATGATATTGGGAGTCATTCTTAGTGATCAAAAAACAAACAAACAGAATATTTCCTGCCTCAAAGTGTTGGACACTCTGCAAGAAGATGCAGCTAGCAACAGACCAGTTTAGAGTGGTAGGTGGCAGGTTTGATAAGGAAAATAACTTACAGATGAGGCTTGTCTTGGATGTACATCTCTGCATTTGTCTGCCAGAATCTTCAACATGTATAAAGAAGCTTTAACTGGATTCATTTTCACATACCATCCAGATGGTTTCAAGAACACCTGCATCTTCTTACTTTGGGAACAGTGGGCAGAACATACATTCAAAGGAGAAGGGAATGGGTAAGGAGCCACCAAATTGCCAGGGTTTATCTTGTGAGTCACTTAGCAGAAAAATCCTTTTAATGGCCTCCTCTAAGAGTAATACAGCTAGAAAGTGAATGGATTTGAAATAAGTCAGCCTGCTGTATTATAATATTGTGCCACCATGACATACATACCGTGATAGATGTTAGAATGAATCTGGCAAACCAGGAAATACATTTTGTTCATTTGATAATGCAGTTGTGAACAATAAACAATGAACAAAATGAACAAGCAATGAACAAATGAAGTTCATTTTCAAATGAATGAAGTGAAGCTATGCCAATGATGTATGTGCTAGGATTATGTGTGAGCACTCTGCTACCTTGAGTTGATTTCTTTTTTCATTCTCTTTGTCAGTTCTGCTTTCATCTCATGAAAGTTTCATTATTCTAACCCAGGCATGACCAGGAATCAAATTCTGCCTGCATTCAAGCTATGGCATCTCAGTAAACTAGAAAAAAAAAGCTCATTTTTGGAATTGTGCTTTTGAGTTCAAACCTGAGTATTACCACTTCTAGCTGGATGATGCTGAATAGCATCTCTGACTTTCATTAACCAGGCTCCTCAAAACCACCTGTCAGTGATGGGAAACAGCTGCCTAAATATTATTAATTTCTGAGTGAGTGGTGCTTATAAAGGTCAGGTGTTCAAAGCTGATTCTGTCCTAGTGTCACATTCAATTGAACAACGTGGGAAACCCATTGGTGTCCCTCCGATAGATTTCCCTACAATTCTCTTTTGATATATATGTATATATATATGTATGACTAAAATTAACATAAAAAAACAGTATGGCAACAGAGAATTTCACAGATGACTTACCAGATTTTGTCCCACTTGAATGACTTAATGGTCTTGGAAATTGCAGAAACAATAGAGCTCTGAAAAAATTAAAGAAAGGGTGGTTTAAAAACCCTGTGGGAAGTAGTGCCTGATTCAAAGCTAGTATCCTGAGAAGTTGCTTAATTAAGCATATACATATATACCACAGTATACATAATATACACATATTGTACTATATACTATGTATAGAGTAACTAGGTAGGTCAGTTTATCTGTCTATCTGTCTGTCTATCTATCAGCTTATCTATCTGTCTATTTATCTATCTACCTATCTATCTATCTTTATATGACAGTGTGTGTGATTTTGTGTGTGTATGTGTATGATGGTAGTGACTTGCCATAGGGTTGTGTTTTCTGACTTTTAGTTAATGTTATGCTTTATTATTTTTCATGTATTAGAACATTTATTATTTGCTTAATATATTTTAATTGACTCACAAACTTATTTAAACAAATCTGAAAACTAAACTTTCTGTAACCAACGCAAAGGAGAAAAATCCATGCCAAAATCTTCATAAAGTAACAAGAATTCTGAACACTCAAAAAGTTAAAATAACACAATCTCTGGGTGCTATGTGAAATTATCTCTTGTGCTGTATTTTGGGAAATACTGGCAAGAGAAATTGTAGAATTTAATCAAAAGCTT